AAAAGCATAATTATTAAAATTGCCGGAGTGGAAAAGACTTATAATGACCAGTATTATACGGGTCAATTTTATGGGTCTGTTGTTTCACATGTTTTTTTGAAACTTTTACCAATGATAATTATTTAACACATTTCAAGCGGGTATTCTGAATATTATTTAAACAGGTACTAATATCCAATCCGTTGATAAATAGTGATTCGCTATTTATCAAAAACTTAAATCGTTTTAAAGCTTTTTAAGTTAATTAAAACAAAAAATTTTTTTTTTATATCTTTAAAAAGTAAACAATAAGTATAGTTTTTCTATATGTATATAGTTATTTTTCTGCCGCTTACTAAAAAATATTGAAGTGACGAATAAGTATAGAAAAGGTCAGTGTTGAATAGATTTACCAAGACCTGTATTTTACGGGTCAGCACAACAAGTAATAATAATAATAATTCGAATGAAGTTGAGATAGAGAGCCAGACAATATCTATGACAGCAAACACAATAGTTGCCTAAAAATTTAATTACAACCTGCAAGTCAATCAGCTAAAGTCTGGATTTAAACTCTTTGACTGATGTAGACTCCACTACTGATTCCGGTAAATTATTGCATGTTAAGAAGTGTTGTCTACTTAAACAACTTTTAACAAACTCTGATTTAATACAATGTTAATAACATCTAATGATGCTGGACATGGATGCTGGACATGGTGTATTGATTGAATGCATTTGTATCTAAACTTTCTTCATATCAAGATTCAAATATATCATAGATTCAAAACCCTTATATAATTTATATTGTTGTATAAAGTCACCTCTTAGTCTTCTAAAGTTGTTAAATCTAATATTTTTAATCTTTGATTCACCTAAATCTTTTTCAAGAGTAGATTTTTTAATTTCTTTTAGTGCACCATCATTTTACATGAAATAAGAATACCTTTTATTACTTGCACCAAAATTCATTATTTTAGATTTCTCAAAATTCAAACCCAGTTTCTATTCAGACAGACCATTTTTCAAGTTTTTTAATGTTATTTTGAAAAGATTTTGAATCAACCTCAGTATAAATAGGAGCAACTATTTTATTGTCATCGGCATACAACATTTATTAAGAAGTCTGCTTGGTAAATTGTTTGTGAATATCAAGCAAAGGAGTGGATTAAATACAGAACCCTGTCCTACTCCACTTAACACATCAACCCAATTTTCCTTGCATTTTCCCATCACTATATGTTGTACCCTATTTGATAAGAATGATTCAATCCATTTAAGAGGTATACCAACAATACCGAGAGCATAAACCTTAGCACATACTTTTATGTGTGATACTCTGTCGAATGCTTTTCGAAAGTCGGTATACAAAACGTCAATTGCAATACCATATAATGCGCTTGTTAAGGTATCAAGAAATTCTAGTAAACTTGTTGTGCAGCTCTTACTTTTTAGAAAGCCATGTTGTTCTTTTGCTAACAGCTTGTTTGTTATCAAATGCTTGATTATATTATATGATTATCAGCAACTATTCTTTCTAATATTTTTCATTGTATTGATATCAGAGATACTGGTCTGTAATTAGTTTGCTTCACTTGTTTCAATATAGGCGTTATATAAAGCTTCTTCCAAATATCAGGTACAATACCTTCTTCTGTAGATTCTTTAAATATTAAATAAAGAGGATATAAAATTGATGAATTGAACTTTTTTAGAACAAAAGGATGTATTAAATTAACTCCAATTGATTTTGATTTCAAGAGCTTTAAATCTTCTTTTAATATAATTTTGTCAGCAGCTTCTAATATCGTGTTTAGTTGACAGTTTTCAATATTTTTGTTTACATCTTTATCTTCTACATATACAGAATGAAAATATTTATTAAATTCTTCAGCCATAGTCATTTGATCAGTGTAAATTTTTCCGTCACTGTTCTCGATCAATGTAATTTAGTTTTTTACCGATTTTTTCTCATTAATATACGTAAAAAGTAACTTAGGATTTATTTTACAGTTATTAACAATCTTACTCTCAAATGACTTAATGTTTTCCTTTATTTTGTTTCTGATTTCAATCTTTAAACAATTATATTGAGTTTTAATTGATTCATGTTCCCAATTTGTTGATTTATTTTAAAGACACATTTCATTTTTTAACTTAATTTTTGATTTTAGAGCCGGAGTCATCCACTTTTTTTTATTATTATTTGTTTTTGAGTTTTTAATGACTAGAATATATTCTTGTGACGCATAATTGTAATGAAACAGAAACAATTCATACTGTTCCTTGATTCATTTGTTGTTATATTCCTTAAGCCAATCGACGTTGTCAATATAGTTTAAAAATAACTTGTAATTACCTTTACGATACAATTTTGTAGGCTTCTTAAGTTTATTACTTATATTAGATTCTTTTACTAAATACTTGCATTTTAATAAATGATTAACTTGTTTTGCATCACCTAAAGGGGATGAGTGAACATTAGAACATACTTTTGTCTTTATCATTAGTAATTATAAAATCCAAAATATTTTTTGATTCAAAGTTTGCTTTTTGGTAAGTTGGATACTTATGCATTGATATAAAAAGCAATTTTCAAGACAATCTATAAATTTATTAGCTAGAGAATCACACTCAGTAGGAGAGAATGGAGAATTAATTTTGGATTGATCAATTGTGTTATAGATAAAATCACCAGTAATAATAAAATCAATAAATATTTTACAATCAACACTTAATTTAGAAGAAATTATTGATTCCAGAATGGTATTGTTATAATCCTGAGATGCTAATGGTGGTCGATATATGCATCTAATTAGTACTTTTTGATTACCAAAACATAAGCAAGTCCATATTTGTTCAATATCACTACAATTTAGTTGCTTACTAATAATTTCTATTCAATTTATGTTGCTTTTTGCGTAAATACAAACTCCACCTCCATGTTTCAGTCTACCTTTTCTAAAAATGTTATAATTGATCATGTTAACAACCGATCCAACAGTAAACCATGTTTCTGCGATACAGATTACATTCGGTTCATAAATATGTGCCAAAAATCTTAACCTGTCAATTTTATTATTAAGAGATGTTGCATTTGTATACCATATTATCAACTCTAGAATATTACTAACCTTTATCAAACTAGATTTTACTTTTTTGTCTTGACTAATTGAGCTATTTTTCTGGTGAAATTCTACCATTATTGTACACATTTTTATATTCCATAAAAAATAATGACTCGTAATTAATTAGTTATGATTTCCGGTTATTTATAAGTGATTGCTATTTAACAATTTTAACAATTTTGTTATTACGTATACCATAATAGTAAACCAAAGATTGTAAATTTTCTAAATTTTATCTTTCAGCCTAGGTTAAGTTAGAGTTTATAAAAACATTGTTAAACTTGCTTCAATTTTTAAAGTTTTTTACAGCTTTTAAAATAGAGTGCTGTTCGTTTTTATTGTTACGGATAAAAACAATCAGCGGTTCTTTATCAGTTTTCGTTTTGAGCTTTATAACTTGTTTAGGTTCAATCGTTGCATTTATTGATTAAAATACATTAACAATCGTTTTTCTGTCTTCCTCTTATCATTTGCTGTGTCTAAATTTTTTGATGCATTAATTCCAAAAATTATAAGACTATTTTCTCATTTTGTTCTTTCTTTTGCTTCGGCAGCAACAACATTCATAATATGTAATTGCTCCTCTGACTTTTTTACTGATGCATTTCCACTAACAACGCTTGCCCAAGATATTGAGGTTGATTTACTAGTAGATTCAACATTTTCTAAAACTCTAATCCTTTCTAACAACTTTATGTTACTAATCTTTAGCTCTTCAATCGACTTGTGCACAGATTATTTTCTCTTGCTCTGTTTTAAAATTATTGAATTCAGTTGTCTTAAAAATATTGAACATTTACCATGATTAAATATAAACAATAACTTTAAGTTAAGGAAACTTTTTTCTAGCTTTAATTTTATTTAACTTGTTTACAATTATTAAATAAAACACTTTTTCTCACTGTAAAGGCATAAGTTATTAAAAATTAAAGATAAAATAAAGAAAAACAAAAAAGCATTAAAAAAATGAGAAAGTTTAATATTGTTACATGCATACACAAACATAAATATAAAGATATATACACATACTTACCCACATGCATAAATATACACATATTTGCACATAAATACACATGTGTGCCTACATACACTCACATACAAATGTATACATACACGTATAGATACATATAGATATACAGCTTTAAAAATATACATTTAAAAAAAATGTCCAACCAACATAAAATTAAAATACATGCTGATGCAAACAACGCACTAAAACATAAAACAATAGAAACTATACACTACAATGCCCAATGAACAAAAAACAAAAATACAAAAACAAAAAACAACAACAACAACAAAAAACAAACATCCCTAAAAATTAATAAAATTTAAAAATGATGCTTTTTTGTTTTTTCAAAAACAGAGCAATTTTTTATTTTATTGTAATTCTTTTTAATTACTTTCCATTTTCGAATCTTTTCTTTTTCTTTTCTCGTTTCTTTTTATATTTTTTTCTTTTGTTAATTTGTTTGATTTGTTTTTTTATTTGTTTTTTTATTTTTTTGCTTTTTCATTTCTTTCTTTTTCTTTTTTTTTACACTTAAAAAACAGTTTTGTCCACTACCTGGTGCAACTGTAATGATTTTTCTTTATATTTAGGTAATTAACCCTGCATTGTATAATCAAAAACGTTTCTTTTATTTTTTTAACCAGATAAATCTTAATGAGAACAAATAAAAAAAAAGTATTTGAATCTAATGACCACATATAATTTCTTGACCTTTACTTGAGAGCGTTAATAATTTTGATGTTCATAAATTTTATTTATTTTATATATTTCAACATTATTTTATTTTTTAACAGTAAATTTGTTATTTTACCATTTTACTTTTTAAACTCAGCAAAAGCTCTTAATCCATAAAAAAGGTTTGTTAACATTAGAAAACTCACTGTTTAACCTCTTCAGGGATATCGATTTGATCAATTCGAAGATGAGGTGTCAATTCATCCAGTTTTGAAATGTTATTAATTTTTTTACCAAACTTTTTGCTACAAAAAAAAAAACAAAAATAATAATATTAATTAAAAAAATTACTTAGTGTTTATATTTTTAACAGTGCTAGCAACAAGATTTTATTCTAAACAATCATAAGTAATAGTAAATACATAAACTATGACATTGTAACTTAGACTCCAACAAATCATATAGTTATAAAAATTGTAACGGTAAATTTGTCAACTATGACATATTTATAAAAAAGATATGCATCAAATATATGTACTATATGTATCAAAGCATTATGATATATTTCTTAATTCATAATAAATTAATATAATCTTAGTAAATAATAAGTAAAATAAGTTGAATCATGGTAACTAGTACCTAATAAACTTGTAGCAAAAAGTTCTTTAATAATACAAATTATCAATCTAATAACCTTAATACCATTAAACAATTATGAATCAAACATAACAATATCAACTAATCATCAGTCAAATATAACATTATCAACCAATGATCATTCAAATATAACTTTATCAACCAATGATCAATCAAATATAACATTATCAACCAATCATCAGTCAAATATAACATGTAATTAATCAAAAATAACCAAGAAACATACCTTATAAATGGGTAGAAAATATTAAATGCAGCTTTTATAAAATTACTTGGATGAACAATATAGAATGCTTTTAAGTTCTTTTTGTATCTAAAATTAAATTCAAATTATCATTAAACAATGACATTGTCATTGTTTTAATGATAATTGTGACATTGTGACATTAAAATGATAAACAATCATTAAAATAATGATGACATCATTAAAATGAAATCTGATTTTCACAGGAACGGGAAAAGGACGGTAAAAATAATCACGTGGGTATGCGTAGTATAAGTTTTAACATATCCAAAGGAAAACTACGCATGCTCATGTGATTATTTTTCACTTTCCTATCTTGTTCCCGAAAAAAACCGGATGAGTGGACACTCACCTTAATATTTAAAACAAAATAACTTAGATAATAAAAAGAAAAATAGTTGTATGATAATACTATTAAAATAAATTTTGCAATTTTTTTTGTATTTTAATCTCTTTGTGTTTTTATAACCAATACACACTTAAGGTGATGTGCTTCATCACAACAAATAACCTATATTCTAAATATATCTAACAAAATCGATTTCATCTGAAAATTATATATCGGTGACAAATAACTGTGACCTTATACTTTGTGACATAATATCAGATTACAAAACTTATTGGACACTTGTTTTTAATTTTCTTTGAATAAAAAATTTTGTTATTAACTAAGAGCCTTAAAACATTTTTTTAAAGATCATCTTTGGTCAATACGAGGAAATTTCTATTCAGCACAAAATAAGTAATTATTTTTATAAATAAGACAAATTTGTAAATTTTCTCTTTAAAACCATATTTAATAAAAGATGTAATTAAATTATATTGGCAAGACAATACGCCAACTAAAGACACAAATGACTGAGCTCTATCGGAGAGATAAAAACTCACATATATTCAAACATCTCCATGCTGACTAAAATTGCTGTTACATATAATAACAACATGTTTTTCTATATGACTAAAATTGCTGTTACATATAACAACAACATGTTTTTCATTAGATTCTTCTTTCAATAAATTTGAATTCAAATCAAAGAAAAGTTTGTATATAAAATGGCAAATATGAACTAACAGATTAATCGTGTTAAATTGACTTTCTCTGTTTAACTCTCTCTGTGTGTATATATATATATATATATATATATATATATATATATATATATATATATATATATATATATATATATATATATATATATATATATATATATATATATATATATGTATATATATATGTATATATATATATATATATATATATATATATATATATATATATATGTATATATATATATATATGTATATATATATATATATATATGTATATATATATATATATATATATATATATATATATATATATATATATATATATATATATATATATATGTATATATATATGTATATATATATATGTATATATATATATATATATATATATATATATATATATATGTATATATATATATATATATATATATATTATATATATATATATATATATATATATATATATATATATATATATGTATATATATATATATATATGTATATATATATATATGTGTATATATATATGTGTGTATATATATATATATATATGTGTGTGTGTGTATATATATATATATATATATATATATATATATATATATATATATATATATATATATATATATATATATATATATATATATATATATATATATGTATATATATATATATATATATATATGTGTATATATATATATATGTGTATATATATATATATGTGTGTATATATATATATATGTGTGTATATATATATATATATATATATATATATATATATATATATATATATATATATATATATATATATGAATTGTCTGAACTTATATAATATATGCTGAACTTGTCCGATAAAAATTAAAGAAGTGCGATTGAACCCCATTCTTGAACATGCTTAAAATATTTTATTTTTACAACTTGACCACGCGATTGTTTTGACAACTCAAAGTTTCAAAATGCGCTGAAAATAAAATGAAAATTTGTAAGATAAATTATTTATTAAAAGAAAATCTATTTATTTAATTATTTATCAAAAAAAAAAGACTAAGCTCAAAAAACTAAAATTTGAAAAGGAAAATATATTTATCAGGGTCAGACTGGGATTCAGGGGCCTGGGGGAAAAATAGATGCCATAGACATAACACCCTAACCCTGGCTGCCTTGTATATAAAAATTTCTCTATATTACATATGAAGGACCTTTTTTTTTAGGTACCTTTTTTAAGGGCCCATGAGGTAGCGAGAAGCCCAAACATAGCAGGGGCCCAGTGGTTGGTGGTGGGAAACTCTAACCCCTCTTGCCAGTCCGACCCTGATATCTATATTATGTTTTTTTAAAAATACTATATTATGTGAAATGCTTTGCAAACTATTAAATACATAAATTATTATGTAAATATATTAAATACATAAATAATGTAACTAAAAATAAAATTAAATATGTAATAAAATTGTATAATAAAAATACAAAATTATTAAATATATGATTTACTATGCAAATATATTAAATACATAAATTATTAAGTTTACTTATTACTTTATTAAATAAAGTAATAAATTAGTTTATAATTAAATAAAATTATTTAATGTTTACATTAAACAATTTTATTTAAATTATCAAAGTATAACACACGTAATTACATTTATATTTTCTAGGATTAATTTTATAAACACTTTTAATAGCGAAATTTTTTTAGCACGAAAACAAACGGTTATGTAACAACTCAAATTTAATAGCGTAATAAAAAGTACTGGTTTCTATAAGCATTAATGTAACTACTATGTTAAAATATTTTTTATAAAATAAATTTAAAAGGTGTTTTAAGAGCTAAAATATTTTATTAAAACTAATAAAAACCACCGGACAAAAAAAAAACAAAAAACAAATACTAAACTGTAATTTAAATTAAAAACTAATCACAATGTTTTGATAAAAATGATGAAAACCGGGCTACTTAATTCAAAAAAATGTAATGCTTTGGAGTCTTTTAAAAAATGAATTAACTCAAAAAACTATGTGTTTTACTAACAGAGCCGTGTGTTCAACTTCATTTTTTTTTTGTATGAAAAATATAAAGTTCAAAAAATAAAGTTTATACAATACTGAGTTTATTAATAAATTTGGAACAACTAAAATGATGAGAAAATAAATGCACATAAAATATATGTCGGACAAAATGACCGGTAGATGTCATTTTTACCAGACAAGTGCTGGACAATGTCCGGCAATTACTTTGAGCCCTGAGTATGTATGAATGTATGTATGTATATATATATATATATATATATATATATATATATATATATATATATATATATATATATATATAGTGTATAGTAAATATATATATATATAGTGTATAGTAAATATATATATATATAGTGTATAGTAAATATATATATATAGTGTATAGTAAATATATATATATATATATAGTGTATAGTAAATATATATATATATAGTGTATAGTAAATATATATATATATATATATATATATATATATATATATATATATATATATATATATATATATATATATATATATATATATATATATATATATATATATAGTCTTGCATAATAGTCGAAAAGCTTCATAAACTGTAGTTTTAAAGAGAGCGCTAATAAACCAGAGCAGAAAAAGTTTAAAAACTTAAATTTTTTTTTTTTTAGATGATAGACTGCCTGCCCTAACCAAACCCTCAATTAATGTAGCACCACTCCGTTGCGAGTCAAGCTATAAGATAGCCGATGTAACAGCACTCCGTTGCAAGTCAGTCTATACGATAGTCGATGTAGCAACACGCCATTGTGAGTCAGGCTATAAGATAGTTGATGTAGCAACACTCCACACATGTTTAAAAAAAATGTTTTTAAAAAACAAAAACAAAACACTATTAATTAAAAAAAGCTTTCTAGTCATTATTATTGTGGTTTTTTAAAAAACGATAAAACTTAATGTGCTTCCACATTAACTTAATTGTAAATTCCGCATTAATTAGATTGTAAATTCCGCATTAATTTAATAATAACTTTTGACAACAATAAAATGTAGCTTAATTGTCGAGGTAGCAAAATTGTTGTTAAAAGAGACTTTTGTTACATTTATAGTTGCTTTTGACTACGAGATAAGGATATATATATATATATATATATATAATATATATATATATATATATATATATATATATATATTTTTAAACATCTTTGCTTCCAACAAGACTGCAAGCAACCACTAATTAGTGTTGGAAGTTACTGGAAGAATAAAGATGAAGATAATAGAGCAAGATAACAATTGACAGATGACTTAAAAGATTGCAAATTATATGAATCAGGAAAGCAAGATGAAGGAAGCCATTTCCAAAGAACTGATGTTTGAGGAAAAAAACTAGAAGAATAAGAGTTTTTGGAGTTTTTGTAATTAGAAACAGTAACAGAAAAAGGATGAGACTTAATTGAATGACGAGTAACACGAGAATGAATTTTAGTAGATGGCACAAGAGACGCTAGTTCTTTAGAACAAAGCCCATTATAGTATTTGTAGAAAAGAGAAAGAGAAGCAACATTACGACGATGTGACAAAGATTGAAGGTTGGCTGCAAGAGCAGGTCCATCTATGTTTACAATGCGTTTTTGCACCTTGTCTAAAAGAGAAAGGGCATCATTTGAAGATTCGTCTCAGATATGGCAACAGTATTTCATACAAGGCCGGATTTGAGATTTATAGAGATAGAGAATAGAATTCAGAGTAAGAAAGTGTCGAGCTTGATAAAGAGATGCAACTTTAGCAGATGCTAATTTTGCAAGGGATTTAATATATGGTTTCCAAGAAAGATCAGAAGTAAGAGTTAGTCCTAGAAGATGAAGGGTAGATGACTCATCAAGTACATTACTGTTCATAAATATATAAAGATCTAAATTATTGCGATAACGATTAGCTGAAAAAAATTGAGTTTTATCTGAATTAAAGTTCACCAGCCACTGTGAGCCCCATACTGTAACAGAAGTGAGATCCTTTTTA